TCTTCAGGCACGTCTGGCACCTGCTTTTTCCTTACATAAGTTCTGACCATTCTGTAATAAAATGCTGTCATGAGGCAAAAAAAAAACGCTGAGCCCGTTCGAAAAAAAAATAAGAATTTAATTTCTGATAATTATTCTTGGGGCAGTTCCGGACAGTTCCGAATGTGCCCGACCAAAGTGTCCGAATCTACCCCTTCAGCCAAGATCATTTTTTCAACAACTCAACCGTTATTTCGGAATATTTCTTCCTGTTAAAATGTAGGTTGTGTGCACAAATGCTTACTTTGTCACATGCATCTTTGAAAACGTGAAATATGATGACCCCAAATACTTGAGCACCTTAGGAATAATTGTGAAATACTTACTTTTGATGCTAGTTGAAAACAAAAACAAATGTTTTGATAAAATCGGCCGTTTGGAAGCGCGTCGTTTAGTACACTGCGTTCAAGCCACCACTGCTGCCAAATTGTGTAATTACAGATATCTAGAGCCACCGGGAGGCGGGAAATATGAAATGTCCGGAGATGCCCCGGGTCCGAACCTGCCCCCCTCTACCCTACTCATTTTTATTGAGATAAAGTAAGCACTCCAGATTCCAGGATATAGACAGATGGCAATGTTATTATACGAAGCTGATGGAAAACAACCCTGCAGTTTTCCCTGTAACCTAAACCCTGCATTATTCTAACAGACTTTCTTTGCAGACCAAAGACTCTCTTAGATTGGGCTACATGACCCATGCAAGAATAGAATAAGTCATTGTGGAATGAAACAGGCTAAAGTATGCTGTTCTTAGAGTATCCAGGGATACAGAATTTTCGAGAGGCTGCGAAGCATCTATAAATATTTTGCTAACCCAGCTGTTAAATTATCAATTTGGGAATCCCAAACCAGACCCGGATCATGCTGGACACCCAGGAACCCTACCCGCTGAATGGTATTGACATCACCCGCGTCTCTCAGGGAAAACACTAATCTCTCCGTGCAAACCAGGTACCTATCGACCCTTCTCTCCACCACTGCAGCCTCCCTGACGGCTTCCTCATGTGTAGATGCCCTGAGGGATATTGTTGTGTCATCGGCAAAGAGTTTGTGACCCCAACAGTTATGTCACTTCGGGCCGATTCCACTCCTCCAACCCTCACTGCCTGGGTTCTATCAAACAAATATGAACTCAATAAAGTTATGCTATTATGATCGAAAGAGTATGCCCGAAGCTTTCGCGGGAGAATGTCATGGCAGACGCAGTCGAAGGTCTTACTTAGGTCGCGAACAAGAGATGCAGTGCACAGTGGGAATCATTGCAATTGGCACACACTATATAAATATGCCTCCACTGAAAAAAAAATTAATTTGCTCCAAAGAAAAATGGAGTCTCCTTAAATAAATATTTGGTTGATAATGGACAAACAAATATTTGTTTAAAAAAAAATCTGGATTTGTTTGACAGTTTCCATTCCGTTTGCTTGAATTAAATTATTCTTGATTTAGCTCAATATCAACCATTTTTACAAAATAAATAAATATTTAGTTTTAGTAAATAAATCATGATAGAAAATATTTAAATTAAATAAATATTTATTTATTGTGAGCTACTTGCTTTTTATTATAAATAAAACAAGTATTTGTCTCAACCTCTTTTATTTTGAACCAAATAAACAAATTGTTCCATTTAAAGCCTGATTTGTGCGACGCGTGCCAAACCAACAACAGAAAAGAGCGAGCAGTGATGCACACTGCGCAGTATTCGGAACTCGAGCATGCGCATAAATTGTCAAATGTCTACAGAGATCCCAGTTATTTGAATTTTGGTCATGTTTATTTTGTAAAAATTCCAGATTATTTAATTTAAAGTAGCTGTTATTTCGTTCAAAACATCTGAATATATTAGATTTATGGTGTTCGTTCTAAATACATATTCATTTAATAATTGAAAAAACCAAATACACAGATTTATTTAAACCAAATACATTGTCGTTGGTTTAACTAATCATTATTTGGGTGAAATAAAAAAAAATCAAATAAATATTTATAAGGTAAATTTTTCACTAATTTTTTCAGTGATCGTAATGTGTCAAATCTGACACACAGTAATAGCAAAATGCTGCACTAAATAGATTTATTGGTTAGAATTTTGACTTAATACGAGGGATTTTGAAGAGTGTGTGCCAATTGCAATGATTCCCACTGTACTCCATCTCATCAAATGACTGCAGTACATAGGATACCAGATCAACTATGCTCAGAGTGGTATTTTTGTCCTCTCTGAAACCAAACTGACAATCTGTAAAGAGGCTACCATGTTCAAAAAAGTCTGTAATTTGTTCAGATTCAGCCATGCACTTTTCAAAACTTTTTAAGAATGCAGGCAATGTAGAAATGGGCCTCTAATTTTCGAGCTGTGTATTTAATGCATGTTTGAGAACTTTAGGAAAAACACTCTCACGAAGGCAACTGTTTATTGATTAAAAGAATAACAATTACATTTATGACAGACTTCAGCAGTCTGGTACTCAAACCATATACATCGGTAGTTTTTTAACTTTTGCGGAGGCTGTAAATTATTTCTCTAACTTCCTTAAAAGTTACCTCCCGAAAAGAAAATGGTTGCTCGGGCCAGGAGAGGCCTCTCAAGGCTACTACAGGATCTACATGGGTCTTTGTTATATCCTCTTATTAGATGGTGTGCCATGTTGGCAAAGTAGGCAATTAATTCATTGGGAGATATTTCACATTGTTCATTATAGGTTTTGAAGATATATATCTATGCTTATTGATTAAAGACGACATGCACGTATTTGGATTTGCAGAGGAATAATTGTTAAGATGATCACTCGCATTTTTCTTAGCATTTCGAAAGGCATTCCTATACAAAGTCCTATACCTTTAAAAGTCCTGTGAGAATCCCAAGTATGTAGTATCCACATCAATAGGTATCATATAAGCATAAAACATACCTACATATTTAAATATATAACACATTTTGAGAATTGTAGAATTTCTATATCTAGGTACATTCCTATTTGTTCTTGTTTGAGCTAGATAGAAAGTATTTTATTCTCGTGAGTTAACCCTATTGACATGAAACGGAAGGCGCTCCAAAATCACGAAACAGTTTTTTTTTCTTCAAAAATGTCCGTTGCACATTCAATGTACATATCTTACCCACACATTCTATCATGGTGAGTAATGACCAAAGAATAACCCTATACTCTAATATCGGAACAACCAGGCAGTTGAACAGATGGGATTTTCGCAATAAATCCCTCAATCTTCTGTACGCTTTGATATCATGTCACTCGAGAGGAACAGGGTTTAGTCAAAAGTTATGCTCAGACCCAGATATTCATGTGGATTGACTCGCTGTGATATAGAGCTATAGTTAACAAGATTACCATTGAGGGTAGAAGACATACAAGCATACTTGTCCTGTTTATATCAGTAATAAAATCATTGATCTTACACCACTGGGTCACAAGTCTTTTTGCAAGTTAACAATAGAAATTGCATGGGAAAAATCTTGGAAATCATCAGCAAATAACAGTCCTCTTGCAGGTTCAATATTGCTGAATATATTTAGTTTTTATTGATGCCAAAAAAAAACAAGAATCCCTAGATTGAATATCCCTGAGGCTCTTTCGAAAAAGACGCCTTGGGGCTCTTGATTTCCACATAGGAATTGATATGTTTGATGTAAGTAGGACTCAATGGAATCTATTAGATGCAACGGGACATTAGGATCTGCCAAGGCCTTCAAAATGGCACAGACTTAATGCACAATAATCTTTGAATGGTAAAATAAAGGAACAATTTTGAATATTACTCGTATGAATGCATGGAATTTCAAGAGTGTTGTGAAAAATGTTCAGATTCAATTTTTCGACTTGAAAAACTTGCTTTTTCAATTTTATTAGCAATTTCGATTTTTAGTGATGGAATCATCGACATGGCTTATTCAGCGACTTGAGACGACTTCCAACCATCATGCTTTTTCAAACTTATTATGTCAGCACCTCCATGTTTTTTCACGGCGACATGCTCCCATTATTAATAAAAGTTATAATCATCAAAATATCGCCTCTAGAAGCTTCTGTCAAAAATTTATTGATGTGTTCTCTGTTAAGCAAATATCTCTGCAAATATGGACTTCCTTGGTGCATTAACTGCATTCATAACCGATTATTTTTCACCAAGGTAGTTAATTTGAAATAATTGTTCCGTTCTACTCTTTTCATGGCAGATTAAGTTTTTCTCTTTTTGAGGTAATTAATCGATTATAGCTTTGCTTTAGGCTCTGCAATCTCGTGCCTCAATTTTTTCCTTTGAGAATATTTAACCCCTCAAATTTAGGTAGTGACGTGATGTGCTTGTCAAAAAATTTGGTAGATAACAAAGGAACAATATAGAGGTATGTAGGTCCTGGTTGCTACGGTAGAAAATCCAGGAATAATATATTTTTTTGAGATAGTCCGAAAAGTACACAGAATGGATAAAACTTTCGCTGGACTTCGACGTCAACTTTTTCTGGACTCTTTTGCTATTTTTCCATCTAGTAAAATACGATATTCAAACGGGAAAAGAGTTAGTGAAGGCGCATCACCATATCTATAAAAATAGAGCCACCAAGAAATGAAAAACACAAAGAAGCCGGAATATAATGTAGAAATTAATCCGACTATTTTTACCTTCATTCATATAGGTACCTAATGAAAATATTATCAAGGCTACAAATTTTGCTTTCACTGGAAAAACCTAATGTGCCTGCAGCATGATTTTATCGATCCTTTATACAATTTCTTTATTCTCAGCTCATTTCTCGATGTGACAAAACATTTGGAGTCGTGTCGTCGTTGTCATGGAGAAAGTTGTTGTTGATCTTGACTGTTTGGTCAATAGTTTACCAAGAATCGAAAATTTTTACTTGGGCTTCATTCATACACTAGCACTTACTTGTATATTTTCGACACATAGGTACAAAGTCTTTTTGTGGATACCTAGAAATGTCTGTGGTAACATACGAAAAACCCCTACCCCATATCGGTTTGGCCGATTGGTTTGCCAAACAATGGAGCGCCCAACAAACCAACGATGCTCGTAGGGCGGACGCTTTCAAATTACGACAAGAAGCGCGACAACTTAGAAATGAAGCAACTATTAAAACAAATTGGGACACTTATCACAACAATGTCAGACTAGGAGATCGGATTACAGAGCTAGATAGATGGAAGGAAACGTTAGAAGTATGTCTCCAAAGAATAGAAAAGGAAGTCGGATTGCTTAAGGATGAAAAATACGAAACAGAAAAAGAGATAGATGGACTTGGGATTCCAATAAATATAATTTCAGAATGTATATTTGTCAGAGATAATAGGCAAGGGGCAGAGTTGACGTTCGATGAAGGCGAAACAGAGCTGAAGAAGGAACTATCTCTTTTGGAAAATGTAAAAAAGCTGTTGATAGAACGATGCCAGGCAGCCTGGGAAAAACATAACAAACTAAATGAAGTTCGTTTCAAACTTAGCTTGGAGATCAACAACAGACATGAATCTATTGAAATCGACAAACATCAATTGAGTTTGGATAAAAATTGTGCTGATATAAGCTTCCGAACGGATCCATTACGTATTGTTAAAAAGTAAGTACCTCTTTAACAATAACTTAATATTTTTTCCTTTAAAATTTTTTTTCAGCTCATTGCCAAATGAGTCTTGGCTAGAACATAGTAGCTACCTAAACAGTTTAGCTGAAAACGAATTAGCAGAAACTTTAAAAATGCGCGAAGCTCTATTTATAGATAGGGAACACGCTAAAAATGATATCTCAGCGCAGCGTGATAGAGTAGATTTTATTTTACGTAAGCGCATCTATCAGACTCAAAAGGCACGCAATGAAATTGAGTGGCACCAATTGAAGATGCGCGACGAAATGAGAAAGGTATCTAAAGATTTTTTCAGTTCCCCAAAAAAAACTGCAACTCAAAGTTAATGTATTTTTGAGCAGTGATTAGACAGAGTAAAGAAAATATGGTGTCTTTTCACACTCGACAGGTATAGGTATTATTACGTGAGCGTGCTAGAAGCTAGGTGGACTACTTACTTTACCAAACCCAAATAAGTTCTATCTGAAGCCATAACACAAAAATCAAGATAAAACTAACACTACTAGAACACTTTTGAAAATTTAAATTAAACTTGATAACTGCGATCATTTTATATAGTGTCTATGCACAAGGGCTGTTCCACGAGTACGGAAGGGGTTGACTGCGTACTTTTAGGGTCGTCTATCAGGACCCTTCATGCGAAGTTGCACAATTATCTCAGCTTAGGTGCCGTGTGCCCCGAAAAGCTTCTCCTGCTCGGTTAATCTTTGCCATTCTATGAGTCCATCCTTTCTACGTGAACGATCCTTGGGTGAATCCTGTACAAGTCTTTGGTCCTCTTAGACCGTCAGATAGTGACATATTTAGGTGCCCCATTTTCGCATACAAGCCTCGAAGAGGGTTGAGAAGGACATCGATTTTGAGTAGAATCAAGATATTTTCACGAGTGGCTCCTGGGGATAACATATGGAAAATTCGATTTTACTTATGTTACCCTAAAATGTACTTTACCATTCGCGACACTCAAGCCAATATGTTTTGTTGTCACCAACTTTGTAGATTTTCATCCTTCCGATGGGCTTGTGTGGAAAAATCGCCCAAAATCTGGATTTTTCCTTAGAAAATCACCCCCCTATTTCAAACCTTTAGCCACCTGCAACACCCCCTTCTTTGTTTTCACGAAGCCAGGATTTATTATTTAATCCTTTGGTGAACACGGCTTGCGAGAAAATATGGGCACCAGGACGTCTTTCATTTCTGTTATGGAAAATCGAATTTTCCATATGTTATCCCCAGGAGCCACCCGTGAAAATACCTTCATCCTACTCGAAATCGATGTACTTTTCAACCCTCTTCGAGGCTTCTGTGCGAAAATGGGGCACCTAAATATGTCACTATCTGACGGTCTATCTTGTCAATCTTGTATGATCCTTCTCAGGTTCTTTGTAATTTCTTCACTGTTGCTGATACAACCAGACAGCGTCGCCTTCATTGGAGGAACCTAGACTTCTTTTCATTCTGGCCACTGTTCAGACGTAGTATAAGGGAAGCTTTATTTCTTGTTGGTGTATAGCCGCCGAATTTATGCCGTAGGCTTCTATAGTTCAGAAAAAGAAGATACATTGGTTTATTCCAGTCTCGCTGGTGTCGATCTGATACACAAACATCGATCATCGAGAGGTATTGATTGATGGTCTCATTGTGCCTCTCGACTATTCCGTCGAACTGTAGATGGATTCGAACTGTTCTCGTTACTTTATCCTCAGTATCCTCATCAAATGTTTTGATATTACGGACTCGAAATTTCTTCACTGATTGGTGTTGAGATGGGTTGGTACCTATGTTTTGCTATGATGTTTTCCAGCAATGCTTCAGGAACCGTTCCGCTCTCTAAATGAAGATTATTGGAAGTATATCTGGCCACTGCGAGAAATAATCTATATACCATGAGGTTGTTTTTTCCGAGTCTATTATCGGAATACTAACTACCTGCAATTCTCAGACAAGTAGGTACTCCTCCATTTCGCATAGAGATCGTGTCTTTGTTCAGTTCCTGGTATCACATAGGTCGCATCTGCTGCACTATTCTACAAAATTTCCACGTTAGTTCATTCAGTTATACCAATCTCTTACTCGAGCTAACGCCTTGTTGACTCCAAAGTCGCCACTATTACGACTACTATTCAGCTTGAGTAGCACTCTGTGCACTATATTCCGTGGCGCAATCGTCCGACATACCATGCCTTTTCTATCTCGACTCTAAGATTTTCCAGTGATTAACTCATCATGCAGGCAAAACAATTCTCATTAGAGGTTGACCAAAAATAGAAATTTCTTGCCATCGCGGTTAGTACCGTTCACTAGCCAGGCACGCACTATTTCAATTTTCTTGTGAGCATTTCTTCATCGAACCCTTTTTTGGTAATGACCTCACCGGTATCAATTTCTATTTTTGGTCCTTATAGGATCTCTAAAAAAATTGACGTGGCGTACCGGTAATCTCGATGCTCTCGTATTGCTGGACAAATCACATTCTTCACAGTTGAATGTTCCTTGGGCAACGAAATATTCTAATTTCGTTTTGAAGGATGGGGGCCAGCGTCTGCCCCCTACCCTGGCTAGTAGCGTTTCCCTGAGGCCTGGAACCACCTTTCCTTCACATCGTGGTCATTTGAACTGAAACGTCAACCACAATTTATTCTAATGTGTCCTTGTTAGCCGCAGTTGTAGCACCTCATCAATTCTCTGGATCTTGAATTCCGTTCTTTGTTCGCGCAATATTTTTTCATCTTGTGGTCTTCTATACCGGAACCTCGCTCACAATTTCATCATCATCATCGTCGCGAGGCTCTTACAGACTTCTGCCGCATCCCGCATTTCCATCTCCATTCTTCCTCGTCTATCGCTCTATCATTCATATTTTTTTTAAATGTTATCTATCCTTGTTAGCGCCGGTTTTCCTCTCTTCTTCCTGTTCCATGGAACGTACATCAATGCTCTCTTTGTTAATCTCTCCTCCTCCATTCTCATAACATGCCCATACCATATGAGCTGTCAGGTATCTATTCTTTCGGTGATTTTACATATTCTTCCTCTTCTTCTTCGAATTTCAGCGTTCTGTATATGCTCCAGTCTTGAAACTCTACATGCTCGTTTGAAAAAAGTCTGCTTCCAGTGCATCTATCCTCCTTTTATTTCGTACCGATAGCAGCCAGCATTCAGCTCCGTACGGTACGTAAATATCGGCTCTACAATCTCACTACTCCAGAGTAAATAATTCAAAATGTTAACTCATTTTTGTGTTACTCTGTTATTTATATCTCGCTCTGATCTTCACTATGCAGATATCAAGCTTCCCAAGCATTTATACTCCCCACACTTTTTCAGATCTCTTAAGCTAAGATCCGAGGTCTTCACTATCATCTCCAATACAAAGATCTGCTTGGTTTATTTTCATTCCCCACCGTTCATATTCGTCCTTAAGTTTTCTATACATGTAAACCAGGTCCTCTTCACATCTAGCTATTACTACCTGATCGTCTGCAACTAATAGTGTGGACCAGTAATGTTCTTCCATTTATATTCCTATATCAGAGCACTTATTTCTCCAATTGTGTGGACAGATTTCGAGCTTTCCTTTTTTTCTATGATTTGTTGTAATGTAAAAGTGCCATCCATGCATGAACGTCCCGCACGAAAGCTCTTCTATATGTCTGGAAATCCCATTTCATTTCTTTCTTCTTTGTACAACCTTCCCAAAAAACTAGTCACAAGGCATTATTCCTCTATAGTTTCCACAAGGTGTTGATCTCCTTTTTTGTGGATGGACCTTATGTGTGAGATATTCAAGGCTGCAGAAATAGTGTGTCCTCTTAGTAACAGATCGTTGTATATTATCCGGACTCTTCTCACGTTGTTTATAGCTTTCCGTGCTACTGCCGCACTTGAACCTCCCAAAGATCTCTTCGCATCGCTTCTCCCTTGTTTCGTTTTTCTGCCTTGTTAGCCTTTCTAGGTCTTCCGACCACCGTTCAGGATTGTGCTTCTTTATTTTGTCTTCAATTCCGAGCGCTTCTTTTGCTGCCGCATGAATTTTTGTTGTAATTTCCTCGTATTTTTCTGCTGCGTTAAGTCCACGACCCAAATATTCCCGGAGATGTCCTGCTAGTCGTTTATGCAAGAATTTTGAAGACTCATCTTCGAAGCCATCGAGATTATACTTTACTGTGTCTAATTTGGATATATTTGTATTACCTTGTCTACTCGATTTCTGTTTTTCCTGAAATTAACCACTGCTTGTTCTATAACCAAATGATGGTTCCATCCGCATTCCGCGCTACGATACGCCCTTACGTTATTACACCACATTACTGCTTAATAAGTCCCCTGTGGCCGAAGCGATACTCTACTGATTTGCTGAATTCCCAAAATTTCCATAATTTTTGTTCAGGGCCGTAGCTAGAGTCAAATTTGCGATAGGGCATGACAAATTTGACATAGGGCATACACTACTTGCCCCCCCTACAAGAGCCGGGAATAATAAAATATTGATCACCCTGTATGTTTATACAGTGGCTTATTTTTGTTGAGTCCAATTGAAGTGGGTAAAATTGTTTCCTATTACCGGACCGGCTTTCGTATGAAAGATTTTCTACATTAACAGCCGGGGATAATCAAATATTGATCACTCTGTATTTTTTCACAGTGGTATTGTTTTTGGTTATCAGCTTTCGTGGAAGATTTCCTACAAGAGCCAAGAATAATAAAATATTGATCACTCTGTATCTTCATACAGTGGCTTATTTTTGTTGAGTCAAATTACAGTGGGTAAAATTGTTTTCTATTACCGGCATCTTGCATAGGCGAGCGAAAGCGAGAGTGAAACATGCTAGTAGTTACTTTTACTTTCGCTACTAGCATGTTTCACTTTCGCATGACTATTCACGATTTTTGAGAGCGAAGAATGAAAAGTTTAATACATTACACGCTGCAAAAGCCCTTTTAGCTACTCGGAGGTATTTAAATAGCTGTTTGAATACACCTCGCACCTAAAAGTACGCTTTCGCAGCTTGGAATGTAAATAACTATTCTATTACCGGCTTTCGTGAAAGATTTTCTACATTAAGATCCAGGGATAATCAAATATTGATCACCCTGTATCTTTACACAGTGGTAAAATTGTTTTTGATTACCAGCTTTCCTGGAAGATTTCCTACAAGAGCCGGGAATAATAAAATATTGATCACTCTGTATCTTTATACAGTGGCTTATTTTTGTTGAGTCAAATCAATCACAGTGGGTAAATTGATTCCTATTTCCGGCTCTCGTGAAAGATTTTCTATATTATTAAGAGACGGGGATAATAAAATGTTGATCACGTATGGCTTATTTTTATTCAGTCAAATTACAGTGAGTAAAATTGTTTTCTATTACCGGTTCTCGTGGAAGATTTTCTACATTAAGAGCCAGGGATAATCAAATATTGTTAACTCAGTATCTTTACACAGTGGTAAAATTGTTTTTGATTAGTAGCTTTCGTGCAAGATTTGCTACAAGAGCCGGGTATAATAAAATATTGATCACCCTGTATCTTTATACAGTGGCTTATTTTTGTTGAGTCAAATTATGAGTAAACAAAATGGGGCAATGGCATGGCCGAAGGCAAATTTTTCAATAAATAACATCTCTGGCAAGTAAAAAAACTGGCGCTGATTTTCGCCCGCTTTCGAAACGAAAAACTTCCTCTGTGCAAACGTCAAACGTTGCATACATTTAGGCGTCTTCAGAAACACTTATCCTCGCACTTACTCGATTTTAGGTCTATTCATTATCTACCGTCATTTGGGGTGAAGTCGGACTGTGGGGGTGAACTCGTACAGACAGGTATTGGCCGGCATTTTTTACGATATCGGGTATCGAGACACCCAAAAAATCCACCGACCAACATATTCCGCTTAGTTTAGCTCGAGTGTCGTTAAAAGTGGTGCATTTTTGCTGGAAAAATTCGCCGTAGAGCACGTGGTCAGAATTTTAAAAATTTTATTGTTTTCTTAGAATTTGAAAACCAAAAAAGAAACTGTTGGGCACTAGGGAATATTGAAACTATGTACTTCAAATGAGCTATTATTTGTTATGTGCTCTATCATAAGTAAACCCACGGCAATTTGGAGAAAAAATATTTTTTTTTTGTTAAATAATGGTGTTTTAGTAAAAAAAGTCATTTTATAGAGGGGAAGGCGAACACTATGGTTAGGTGCTATAAGAAGAAAATCGGCATCAATTTCAAAAATTACAATGAAGAAAACGTCGCTACAGCACTCGAAGATATTAGACGAGGCAGAAAAAGTATAGACAAGCCGCTGAGTATTGTGGGGTTCCCAATTTCACCTTACATGACAAGAAAAAGGGAATAAAAACGAAGAATCATAGTGTTTGCATGTTTGCATTTTTTTTACTTAAAATTTATAATATTTTGCTATAAATATTATTATTTTTTATTTTTTCTGTCCGACTGCACCCCGTACTAGGGGCTAAGACACTTTGTTATGCTTAATTAATGGTCGTCCGCTTTTACCCCACACATAGGGGTGATGGCGGACACACAACTTACCTAAAAAAAAGGGGGGGGATACAAATGTCATTACTTTCAGTAAGTAATTTGATAAAGGAGACATGGAAGATTCTTAATTATTTTTTTAGGATTTTTTTTCTTTTAATTGTAGATTTTATTAACAAAAAACTGCAAAAATCGTCCGACTTCACCCCAAATGACGGTACTCTTAAATTTCGTAGAGAAACCTTAACGCTGGTTGCGTTTTAAAGGTAGGGCATCATCTTTTGAAAGATAGGGCATTGCCCCCCAATGCCCCTCCCCTGGCTACAGCCCTGTTTTTGTTTTGGCAGGTTGATACTTCAGTGCACGAACAACGGTTTCTACTGCGGGTCTAGATATCTGTTTTTTCGATTGATAAAGTATTGGATATTTCTTCATTCGCTGGAGTCTTCAGTAGCTTGTGGTTATGCAAACCGGACCATTCTCTCGATGTCACTGATAAATTTCTGCGCGTCTCCGATGGGCCTTAGACTTGACCTTTCACTTAGCTCTGATACACTTGACCGTGTACCTTAGTTCTAGAACCCCTACAACCGTTGCATAATCGCTTCATTTATTCTCAGGAATATTCTGAAAAATTTTGAGCCCCTTGTCTCGTAATACTGTTGCTTTTTTATGCCCATCATCCGATCCATACGCACTTAAAGCGGCCTCACACTGTCATTTTTACACAGACCAGGATGATTCGCCCTTCAAAAGTTGGTGGATTGGGTCGGCCGCGAACAAGAGGAGTCACCATTTATCAATTTTGCTGAAAGTAACTATGCATTTCCACAAAATATTATTTTGCTATTATGCGGTCTCCACTGGATATCTGAATTTCACACAGATGATCACCAAAAAATATGGGCAGCTATATCTAATAATTAGAAGAGTTTTGTATCATATTTCTTTGAATTAAAATTGAGAGCTGATCTCTAAAGTCCGTTGCATGGTTCTTGACCTACGGCTACTGAATAGACAGAGGGGACAATGGGCTATTGCTGCGTTGTCAGTTGTCATATCGATAATATTTATTAATACATGAAAATTGCAATAAAATTTCCTTCATTTTCATGTAATAATAAATATTATTATTGATATGACAACGCAGCAATAGCCCATTGTTCATTCTGTCTATTCAGTAGTGGTAGCTCAAGAACCATGCAACGGACTATACATACAATTTTTTAGTCTTTATCTTATATTGGCATAAGCAGCTGTTTCTTTGAATTAATTAATGTCTCCAAGGCGCTTCCTGTCAAAGACTATGATTTTAGCAAGATGGCGCTTTGCCACGTTATGATATTATTGGCAAAAGAAAGGGTATATGCTTGCTTCAAATTTTTCCAAACACGTCATTGGATTATTTAAGAGTAGACTAGCCAATATTAACGTGCCAAAATACAGAATCAGTTTTTACTATCGGATTGGTGCATGTCGAATACTTATAAGGTGGAGGTCAATTTCAACATTTAGGTAGGTATGTACTCGTTAAGTTGCTCCAGGTGAATGCTGGATTAAACAATAAATAACGTAGACATTTATGTCTTATGAAACTAATTGAGTGAGAACCTTACCTATTCTTGGCGACATCGAAATTTATTTGTGTGGCCTTTTCAACAACGCTTCACTGGACCTAAGTGGCATTGTGAAAAAAATGGTGGAAATAACTTTGCAGACAAAAGGATTGACATTATTACCAACCAATAGAAAAAAACCGAAATCTTCGTGTTTCGGCTTTTTGCAAAAAAAAAATAGTAATTAGCGTGAATTTTCTGCTGGAATTGTCTAGCTAAATCAGCGTCTGCTATATAGACAAAATATATAAATAATTATTGCTTGGCAAACAAACGCATGCAAACGTTTAATGAGAGAATGAATTGACACCAGGGTCCCTATTCTTGAAATAGGGACGAGTAGCGTTCCCAGGAAAATAAGTGTTCCGTCTCTCTCAATGATATGCAACTGATAATATAAGTAACAAAGACAGAATACTCGTTCTCCTGGGAAACCTGCTCCCCTGTTTCAAGTATGAAGACCGGCTGGAACTCTGTAATGGATAAGGATTGTTATCCCTATCGCTATGGCACTTCTTCTTTCTTGTCGAAATCAATAGAGAGGAGACGTCAATGAAGATCGAGAAAAAAACTCTATTCGTTACAGAGTTCCAACCCAGAAGGCTTTGAAAATAATATTTTATTTTAATTTATTTAGCTTGAAAAAGAAATTAGAACATTAGAAGTTGCCCTGCAACCAAATGCTGATGCACTAAAATTGGTTGAAACTAGATTGGAAAATCGGTAATATTTATGAACAAGATCTTTTCTGTTTTTATATTATTTGTTTTGAATCTAGGTCCAATCGTCCCGGCTTCGAGCTGTCCCGTGATGAAGTTGAACAAGGATTAAAAGAAGAAGTCTTACAACTCAGACAAACCAGAGATGATTTAAAAGACAAAATTAACTGTGCCAGAGCTACTTATAACGCTTTGGAAGAACAGCAAGTCCTGATCGACAGGGAGTTGGACAGTAAAAATCAATCTTTGAAGACCGATATTCAATGTCTGGACTTACGGGCTCAGTTGAGGATAGGGAGTTTTGCTGCTCCGGAAACTGAGACTGATAGGAATATACTGTTGACTAGGATGGAGAAAGAAATTCCGTCTACAACATAAAGATGAATTTTGGTAGAAAACAATATGTTTGTGCAATTTTGACTTGAAAAAAAACTCCAGAGTAGATAGGTATCTTCAAAAATTTTAGTTTAATGCATTTATTGAAAAGCTCTAAATTATTGAACAATATAACATAAGCATACAGTTTTAACCAAATTTATTAGATAAATAACATAGTATTTACCTATAAATATGACATAGAACTTGAGCACTTGCCACTTTTTATTGTTTTTGTAAACAAAATTCACGTTTTTAGACTTAAGAATATGTTTTTCACCGACACTGAATCTATAGGATTTTAATTTATTTCACAAAGCAAGAAAACAATGTTAAGAAGTACCTAGTCTATAATAAAGATGTATTTTTTTTTTAATGCCAGAAAGAAAGTTGATCCTATCTTAACTTCTCTAGAACTGATAGTTTGGTTAAGTAGTAATCTAGTCACCTATGCTATGGAACAAATACCTCTTCTATAATCGAAAAAAAGTATTCTGATAGTATAATATGGCCACGTATGGCGGCCCTATAAGCAATTTCTGTAATATGCCATTTTTGAAAATAAAATGATAATTTGAACATCGAATTTTAAAACTGCTGCAGAAACGCGGGATGGGCAAGTGACACTCAAGTCACTCTCCCAAAAATGCGAGGATGCCGAATTTCTCATTAGTAAATCATTCCAAAACATGGCTAACATAAAACTAGTTATTTCAAAACTCACTACGTGAAACTTATTTTCATCCTTTACTACGTTATGAGAAAATAAAGGATTGGTATAATCGTTGTGAGTATTGTTACGTAGTACAATGATCCTGAAATATTTGAGCATTCCTAATGTTGCAACCAAGCGCTGAATATCGGCTTTAGCCAATGAGGCCGTTTTATATATTTAATATGACTGAAATCTTGCAAAATATTATTCATTCCCGCCAGTTGCATCCATGTATCTGCGTCAAAAAATATCATAATTTGCCATATTCTCGACACGTGAAAGTACGGCCCATCGCATCGTGGTATTATTTTCACTTTGATGATTTAAAAACTACATATAGGCTATTGACTATGTCATTCAATAAGGAACTAAGACGTTAGTAAAATATTGTTGTTTGATATGTTCAAATGGTCCCTAGAAATGATTAAACCGCGGAGTGCTGCCAGATATAGGGGTGCATTTTTCAGGGCGGGGTGAGTTTGTCAGCTTTTTGGGTTTTCAGCTATAACTCAAAAACTATGCATTTTTGGTGAATAAATGCATCGAGGTTTTTTGTATAGAATCAAATTTCCTATCTAAATGACATGTGACAGGCAACTGTCACAAAAAGATTAGTTTTACGGATTCAATATCATCCCTAAAGTATATCTTTTTTGGCCGCATTTACTTTACGGCCGCATTTACTTCATGGCCGCATTTGCTTTATTACTTTACGGCCGTTACTTTGGTGAAAATAAACAGGCAATGGAAAACGCGATGCCGTAGCCATCAACACAACCAATAAACAATTAGTTAGCAATCACAATGAAACCAAATTTTCAATTTCAGCTCTATCCAAATTTCCATATAAAAGGTTAGAGAAAACGACATAAGATTAAAAAATTGGGAGAAAAATTATTTTCTTGCATTTTTTTCGGAAAATGTCAAAATTTCAAAATCCTCAACGTTATGAACCACAGGTCCCCACCTATGTAGGTATACTCTATGTTAAAATTTACAATGATAGTCGAAAATAACATATCAGCAAGTTTTCAAAATGTATTGCTTTTTTAAAAAAGCACACTGTAGGATACCAGGCGAAAAAGTCGGCAATTTTCTATAATCACACTTTCCCTATCGTAATTTTTGTTACTAATAATTATATATCTACCCATCTTTGCTGGATTATTTATTTGATCAATAAAAGTTTAAAGCTACTGTTGAATTTTCGTATTTTTTCAAGAACAAACACTCGCCTAAAAAATTTTGTGTGCACCTCGGCCGAATGATCTTTTTTGGCCTCACCTGAAATTTGCTTGGCCTCGGCTGCGCCTCGGCCGCAAATTTCTGATTCGGCCAAAAAAGATCAACTTTACGGCCTTGGTACACAAATAACTATTTTAAAGTCCAAAAACTTGTTTTTTCAACAAAATAAATCCAAAAAAAAAATCAAAAAATTGACTTTTTATTTTTTCTTCAATTTTTGCCTATAACTTTTTTCTGCGTTGACTTAAGCATAGGCATTGCTTCATGAAAAATGAGGCTTATGTAATTTCCGTAAAAATGGCGGTTGGTACAAGTTCATCAGGCGCGGCTCCTCTATAAGGTCATTCGTTCAATGACCCACCAAAAAATCAAACAATAAATTTTCAATTAAACATCTTGGATATTTAGTTTTAAATTAACCAACATCACGCTCAACAAAATGCAGAAATCGAATTATTTTGCGCCCTAAACTCGAAAAACGGCGCTGTTTCTCTAAATTTGACCCACCTCACGAGCCGCGCCTGGTTCATACGATAAAAAATTACCAAGATATAGGCATTCAAAGTTAGCAACTTTTTTTCGATTTTTCAACTTTTTGCCATCGTATCGTGATATTTTCTTTTTTTGTATATAAATTTATTTTTATTCAATTAACAAACTATTTCGCAATAAACAAGTGACAATAATATATGAATTCTCAAATTCTAATAACGGATCCAAATTTATATTCAAGCTAATATATTTATGAATTATTGTCAATTAGTAAATAATACCTATACTTTTTTGGAATTGTGAGATTTGCAGCCGTATGCAACATCCTCTTTTAACTGCGAACAGAATTACAGAAGCAAAATGCAATTTTTTAAAAGTTAGTTTTTGAAAGTGGTTTTAAGTTAAAAGAGGATGTTGCATACGGCTGTTAGACATTTTGCACAGCGTATACGGCTTGAGGACGTACCACCAACTACAGCAGTGGAATCAAAATGCTCTAAATCCACTTGACTGGGTTTGGAAAAAGTCAAACGTCAAACCATGGTTTAATACCAATACGGACGGTCAATCCTCCTGCATCGCAAACTTTGCTGGAGAAAATTGCTTGTGGATACACAAAAGGTTACCAAGCATCCTGTGGCTGTAGAAAATTAAGAATAACCTGTTCCATGTTTTGTAAAGAATGAAGCATGTATATATTGATATCAATTGTGACAACATTGAAATTCCAGACATTACCGTAGACAGTGCCGAATTTACCAATTTGCCGCCCTACGCCTGTTTTAGGCGCGTAGCCAGAAAATTCAGATGGGGTGGGGGTTTCGCTATTGAAATTAAGAAACATTGCATGACCATAGGGATGTCATAAAAAAAATTGCGCCGCAGGCGAAAATTTTGTAGAATTTCCAGGTCAATTCTTTATATGAAAAGAATAAAATTTTGAGGGTAAAAAAGTATATGCTAAAACATAGGTTTCGTGGTTTTTAATTATATTTTCTGATCAAGTGGGGGGGGGGGGGGGGTCTAACCCCTAAAACCTCCCCCGTGGCTACGCCCCTGGCCTGTTTGGAAAGGCCGCCCTCATGTTGGTACGAGCGGCGCGTAGCTCAAAAAACGGGGGGCCAAGAAGATACAGGACTAGGACACGGACAGTGGCGTACATAGCCAGGCTTTTGGAGGCGGACGGGGCTAACTTAACAGGGACGCCAGGATTAAACGAAAATCATTTTGGGTGCCACGCCCATAAACGTTTATTTTGAGCCTTTTTTCATTTTTTTTTCTGTACTACCTACATTTTATTACCTAAACTTGGTATGGGTACCATCGTCACCAAAAGTATCTGGGACACAAATAATGCATAATAATCTCCTGGACTAATTTTACTGTCATTCATTTCAATGCATTTAATTCATAGTTTGACAAATATTTGACAATAAAATTCATATATTAGGACAAGAGCTAATGTGATGCTGTCCCAGTTACTTTTGGTGACGATGGTACATTATTTTGATCTATGTGTGGTCTTTTGTTCGATTAATTTTTTTTCATATGCACTTTTTATTTTTAAAACCGGCGTTTACAGACTCTATAATTTTTTTGGTAGGTAGGTATCTGTTCTTTGTGCTTTGTTATTTTTTGTACTATTTGTTATAATATTGTTCGAATTTATCCAAAAATCAAATAAAGGTCCAACGCGAAACAGAACCGCGTTTCGCGATGGATCTTCGGCTTTCTTTTCCCGATTATTTTTTGTCTTTTTTCTAAATCTTTTTTTTTAAATTTTGCTACCTCCCCAGATTTGCCGCCCTACGCCTGTGCGTACTGTGCGCATAGGGAAATACGGCACTGACCGTAGAGGACATCCATACTGGAATCGATGCTGAAGTTGATATTGAACTGGAAAATATTTTGACAGAATGATGCAACATGATCGATTTTACATCGTTCCACGTCTTCCGATATCCAATCTTTATTACTTTTATTGGGACCATATAGGTTCTGGTTCTCGTCCAGGCTTCAATCAGGTATAAATATATAAAATAAATTCATTAGAAAGTTTATTTGTACGACCTTATTAATCTTAGATCAACACTAAATTATTGCAAAATAATTTGCTGTTGAACGAAAATTAATCTAGCATGCTAGAATAGAAAATAATACAATATGAAGGCAAAAAGTTGAAAAACCGAAGAAAAGTTGCTAACTTTGAATGTCTATATCTCGGTCATTTCCAAAACAAGTATTTGAACTTCAAAATATGTCATTTCGATAGGAAATTTTATTCTCTACAAAAAAACCTTGATGCATTTATGCACCAAAAATGCATAGTTTTTGAGTTATAGCCGAAAACCCAAAAAGCTGACAAACTCACCCCGCTCTTAAAAGTGCACCCCTATATCTGGTAGCACTCCGCGGTTTTATCATCTTTAGGGGCCAATTGAACATATTAAACAATAAAATTGCACTAACGTCTTAGTTCCTTTTCCCCCCGTTTTTTTTTCGACATAGTCAATAGCCTAATAGGAATTATATGACACATCAATAAAACTCA